GAACCCCTCCACTTGTTCCCATCTCAGGGTACAAGCCAGGCTCATTGCAATGACCTACCACTCTGTCCTTTGGTCAGTCCACTTTAGGCCATGTTGGCCTTGCTGTGTCTCCACAGCAGACACATGCCTCTCTCTGGACTTTACACTTGCTGTTCTTTCCCCTGGGTGCTCTCCTCCCAGGAAGCCACGTGGCCCAGTGTCTTCCTTCCCTCTAGTCTTTGCTCAAATGCCATTTTCTTAGTGAGAATATCCTTTGAACCACCCTGCCTCTCAGTGCCCCTCACCTGCTTTATTTCTTTTTTTTTTTTTTTTTTTGGAGAGATTTTCACTGTAGGGCGCGTGCGCTCGCCAGACAGACAGAGAGAGACATAGAGAAAGAAAGCGAGAAATCACCCCCCGGGGGGATGGTCACGCCGCAATCCCTTCTCCTCCATTCTCCTCTCGGGATCTTGGGCACGCACACACACGTGCCCGGCGTGAGTTTTAAGCCACCGGGTCCGGGACACGAACCGCGGTCGACTACGTGGGAGTCCAGCGACATAGCCATTACGCTAACTGCTGGTTCCCTTTATTTCTTTTCATAACACTTATCATCTTCTAGTTTACTTTATTCTCATTTCGCTATTTGCTTAAATATTTGCTGAATGAGTACATTTTTTTAAAAAACAGGAACATTAGTTGGCAATACGAAGCAGAGTCCGGCAGTTGCTACACATCATTACTAAAGACTTGTGCAACAGTCAGCACTATGTACTTGGTACTATGTTTACTGATAAATATTAAGAAGGAAATTTGACATCTATGTCGATAAGACTATTTTAATTTCATCAAATACCAGTTCATCTTCCAATCAGCTTTCTGGGTTGTATGGATCAACAGAATACACTTCTCGTGTCTCTAAATGAAGAACTCCTTCTTTAGAGCTTGAATTTGTATAATAATTGCTAAAAGGAAGAAGAGAGAAAAAATAAGATCTTCATTCATTAACTACGATTATTATAAAGATGTAACAATTGTTTCTGTGCCATACTTCCAGACCCGTGGTAAGTATTTTCATGGATGATTGTATTTTGTCTTAAGTAAGCCTATAAAATAGACACTATAATCCCATTTTGTGGAAAGACACATAAACATACAAGTGTTAGGCTTGGCAGCGTCCACGTCAGAAGTCATCGCTAGTTTGATACCAGATCTGAGACTCTTAATGACTAACAACTACAATTACCAAATTGAAAGTTTTTATTTTAAGATATGATCATACATTGACTCTTTTGGGGCCTAATCTTCCGATTGAACTTGAAAGGAATTTTTCATATTTGCTATTTAACATAAAATCCCTTTAGTCACGTAGCACTAAAAGCTTTACATGATTTTCAAGAGGATGCTTTTACTTGGCCTGCGTGAGAGCACACTGCTTTTCCGTGCATCTAAAAACCACGTAGCCAAAGTTATCATAGGGATCTTGGACCTAAAGTCTTACAAAATTACTGGGGGTGAAAGATTACTCCTAAGGGCACTTACAACTGGGCATGCTTTGCCACTTAATAGGTCAGTTTACAGGAGATACATTAAGGATATTCTAAAATGGTAATTTTTAGGGTAATGTGGGATTTAGGCTTTATTAAATAGCTTTGATGATCAGAAGAGAAAGACATAGCCTCTCCTCTCTCCTTCAAATATTTGGATGACTTTTAAAAATATTTAATTTTGTAACTACACATTCTTTTTTTTTTTTTTTTAAAGATTTGTGCTGTAGGGTGTGTATGCTTGCCAGAGAAACAGAGAGACAGAAATTAAGAAATCACCCCTGGTAGGGGGGGATGGCCACACTGCAATCTGTTCTCCTCCATTCTCTTGGGATTTGGAGCATGCATGCAACATGCGCCTGGCGTGAGTTTTAAGCTGCAGGGCCCGGGACTCAAACCATGGTCAACTATGTGGGAGTCCAGCAACATAACCATGATGCCATCTGCTGGTCCCGGCTACACATTTATTTTAAAATGGTTTATCACTCATCACATTTACAAAAAGTATTTAAAGCCACTCAAATATTTATATCAATTATCAGAATATAAATGGAAGTAATCTAGAGAATGAAAATATAAGGGATAACACTTAGAAATTGACATATACTTTAACATAAAAACGAATGACACTTAGAAATTGACATATACTTTAACATATACTTTTGGTTCATAGCAATTGGGGCACATAAATACAGCATATGATAAAATCATGTTAATAAGCAATAAGAACCAGACTTGAGTATTACGAATTACTTGAACTGGTAGGCTCTCCCCAAATTTGCAAATTTTTGTACACATGCAATGCTCTGATAGCAAACTTAGTAGCATGAAGGAAAAAGATAGAGACCACATTTTCTATTTATTTAAATTTCAAATTACTCTTGGCTAAAATTATCTTCTAACTTCCTGTGAGGAAAGCCATGCAAATGACATCCTTATTTATATATATATATATATCCTTTTCTCCCTTGAATTCTGTACAACTGTGCTCTCCCAGTTTCCCTCCTACCTCTGTTCGCTCCCCTCCTGCCTTTCAACCCTGACTGTCCCTCTGAGATCAGCTCTCATATGTATTTTACCTTGTCAGATGCGTTTTGTCCCAAGGATTTCATGGTGAGGTAAGTGTCAGCTACCTGAATCCAGGCCCTCTGCAGAGCCCCATGACACATAGTAACTCATTGTCTTTCCCCACCACTAGCCTCTCTCCTCTCTCAGTGAGTCGCTGGGCCCACCACTCACCTTCGTGGAAGTCATTCTATGTCCCCTTCTCCCCACATTTGGCAAGGCACTAAGTCTCTGTCCGAGAAGTGAAGTGACGCTACCTTTGCTGTCTGTTCCATCCTCTCCTCCCTGTGACTGCAATTTGGTGGAAAGACCAATGCTGCCCTTTCTTTGAAAATGAGAATCTGAACACCTCATTTCCTCACTTAAGATTCTGCAGGATAAACTAGACCCTCATGGTGGCATGCAAAGCTTTCAGGGGTCCAACTCTTGTTGACCTTTCTAGATCTCCCCAATGGGTATTAGATGAAGCTTCAGTTCATGAGATAGTAAAAGCATTATGGAACAGAAAAAGAGTTCTGCAAGCCCAATTAGCTTGGAAAACTCTGGTTAAAAACAGTAAAGTAGGTTTATTTATTGCTAGATCTTAAATATTCTCGTGGTCATTGTAAATAAAAACCCACCACCTCAGCACCTTACAATCCCAACTGGCTGTAGAATGGTCATTGTAAATAAAAACCACCGTCTCAGCACCTTACAATCCCAACTGGCTGTAGAACCACCTTTCTCCATCAGGCATTTGCAAAGGCAGAGCTGTATGGCACATGCTCTGGAAAACACTACAGCTAGGGACACCGCAGTGCTGAGTGTGGCCAGACCCACCAACTGAGGACTTCCCAGGCCAAGAACAAACTGCTCAGTTCATGGACACCACTGTTACATGGGTTCAGTGCCAACCCTTTCATACTGATGACCAGGCCCACACAGCAGTGAGAAATGGTGTCAGAGGCCACTGTGGCAATGGTAAATGATAGGCTTGGGTGACTTGGCATGCTAAATTGATTTCGCTGAAGTTTTTGAGTGACATGTTTAGGTTGGTCCAGCTTGGTCCTTTCCTATTGAAGTCCCCTGACATCTGTTAAGACTTTACCTGATCATCCTCCCTCACACTAGCACGTGTAGGAGAGACTAAGGACTTATCTACACAGGGCATTTCCAGGCTTATACCTGACGGCATCTTTTGCTAAACATGTATCCTTTGCGTATAACAGTATTCCGTGGTTTCTGCAAGATACGTGCGCTGGGGGCTCTATTATGCCATACCTCCACCTACACCTATGCCACCTTCACCTTCAGTTACTGTCACACACTAGTTCTCAGCCTTGTCAAGTTGGTTATAATAGTTCTCACAATGCAGGATGGAAAGCCAGGCCTCTGGTCTTTTACTCAAACTTCTCCCATCTGGAATACCTTCGTCTCCTGTCTACACTCTATCAAGGTTCACCTTTGTCCCACACCTCCACTATGGGACTTTTTCTTCTGTAAACTCCCATGTCATGAGAGCTACTCGCTTTGTGTCCCCACCAAATAGCCTATAACTTGTTATGGCAAGATTACTTTATGGCACTCATGTAACTACAAGCTTGCCCTCCTCTGCCAGACTGTGACGGCCTGGATGACAGGGCACTGTGAGTCTAGCCTCGCAGAGTGATTCCACATAGCTGCCACTCCATAGTCGTCACATGGGGGATCTTCAAGAAGCTTATGGAAAATGTGTGTTCTGAAAAATCTATACATGGATTTCAAACGTTTTTGTACCAGAATAAACTCATACTTTAATTCCATTTTCCCACACATTTTTAAAAAGTCTTTTCATGTGATAGCTAGTTTTGAGTGCTGGACTGACTGGACTAAGGGATACCTCAAGACCTGATTATTGCCCGTTATTCTGAGTATGTCTGTGAGGGTGTTTCCAGAGATTAACATCTGAGTCTGAGTAGATGAGGAGGATGAAGACACACACTCAGGGTGAGCAGGCACCATCCAGGCAGCAAGGGACCCAGAGAGAACAAATACAGAAGTTGAATGGGGTCTCTTCTGAGAGGCTGGGATGGACTTAAACCGCCTTGGACACCAAAACTCAAGGCTCCCCTGCCTTTGGACTCTAGGATTCTCTCAACACTGCCCTACCCCATGCCTGGCCTTGGGGTTCTTATGCTTTTGGCCTCAGACTGAGTGTTATACGATCACTTTCCCTGCCTCTGAGGCCTTCAGACATAGACTGAACCTCTCCCCCAGCATCTTGGGATCTCCTCCTCACAGATGGTCTTCATGAGACTTCTCAGCCGCCATAGTCATGTGGGTTGATTCCCTTAATAAGTCCCCTCTTACATATCTATACATATTGATTCTGTCTCCAAAAAAAATCTCTGACTTAATGTACTTCATACAATAAAATAATAAATGGGCCTGGTCATGATCTCTTTTCATATCATTTCTATTACTTGTCAAACTTTGACATAACTGGGACCAGCAGATGGCATAATGGCTATGCAGCTGGAATCCCACAGAGTCGACCGCAGTTTGGGTCCTGGACCTGGCGACTTAAACTCATGCCGGGCACGTGTGCGTGCATGCTCAAGATCCTGAGAGGAGAATGGAGAAGAAGCGATTGTAGCATGGCCATCCCCCATGGGGGGGTGATTTCTTGCTTTCTGTCTCTGTCTTTCTGGTGAGCACACGCACCTTACAGTGAAAACCTCTAAAAACAAAAACAAAAACAAAAAACAAAAAACAAAAAACTTTGATGTAACTGATCAAATTTTTTAAAAAGCCGCATATGTGTATGCTAGACAGAACAGCATATGGAAGCATCTAAAGCACATTGCTGACATAACTTAACCTTGGGCTTTGAAGGCATTGCAACAGTGCACTGGAAGAGACTATTTGGTTTCTTTATAGACCATTTAATTCATTACAACAAGCAAAAGACCAATAACTAGGAAAAGATTTGAGTGATATAAAAGATTTTTTTCTTTCTATTCCCTAGATTTTTACAATGTATCATCTGAATGCACTTATGCAATCAAGTGTTTGGTTTCTTTTAAGTTCTTATAGGTCCAAGACTTCCTTTTATACAGTGCAAGATACCTTCTTCTTCTTCTTCTTTTTTTAAAAATTGTTTTGCTATATGGTACATGCACTCACCAGAAAGACAGAGTCAGAGAGACAGAATGTGAGTTGTCACCCCCTTGCCCACCCCAGGGGAGATGGTCACACCGCAATCCCTTCTCCTCCATTCTCCTCTCAGGATCTTGGGCACACACACATACGAGCCTGGCATGAGTTTAAGCCACCAGGTCCAGGACTTGAACTGCGGTCGACTACATGGGAGTCCAGTGACATAGCCATTACATCAACTGCTGGTCCCACGCAAGATACCTTCTTTAGGTTATCATAGTGAACATTTATTTCACATAACTTGTGTTTAGTTTCAAGCAAGAAGTCAAAACCTTTTGCACATTTTGTCCAAGCATTCATTTGAACTTACCGTCCTCTGTACTTTAATATCATGTATAGGATGACGATAGCCAAGATAACAATCATTGAAGCACCAGCAATACCTAGGGAAAAAATAGGTAAGAATCAAATGCCATAAAAAATGTGACCTATTGTGTTTTGACTTGATCGTGGGCCTATTCTAAGTGGTAAGGGAAACTTTATGTGACCTTTACAGTAATCTCCTCCCAGCCACAAATACTGAATTCTTGAATGATCATTCTCGGGCTTAGGAGTTTTCTGATTTGATCTGACCCATACGTAAACTAAAGCACGAAGCACGTGACACAGGGTTCTAGCCAACTTTCTGCTGAGATTGTCTGTTCCTTTAGTTTTATTAGTAATAATCTCGTTGCTGTGGTAAATTAAGAACCAGGATCCAGGACACTAGGAGACTATGATTTTGCATAACATTTAACTCTCAGTTCTGAAATATCCCTTGTGACAGAAAAATAAACCAACCTAGTTTGATAATACCAAGGCTAAGAGTTAATGACAACCAGGGAGAGTTGGCTGTTTAAATCATATTTATAGCTCTATCCCCAAGTCACGTTTTTATAACGTGACATTCACATTAAAATATCACCCCAAAACCAAAAAAGACAAGTTCCTGAGTTAAAAAAAAAAATAACCAACATGTGGAAAATAAGGCCTCTAGTTTTATGTATTTTTATAAAAACATTATAAGGGCTTTTCTTCAAGCATTTAAAAAACTTACCATAAAGAAGAAGATCATAAGGAGAACCTAAGGAGAATACAAAATCATAAAAATATCAGTTGAGTAGCAAAATTCAGTATGGGCCAGAGTTCCATGGGGTGTTCCAGAAGTCTACTCAACTCTCTTCTACTTAAAAGATAAATTGGAATCCTGAGTTATATCCACCCTACATATATATATATATTGGGTCTTCAGAAAAGTCATGATGCATTTTTGCACAGAAAAACATAGAAAAGGGGCCAACAGGTGGCATCGTGGTGAAGGCGCAGACTTGCACATGACCAATCACAGTTCAAGTCCTGGATCGGATGGCTTACTTTCTCTTTCTCTGTCCCTATCTCTCTGGTCAAATTGAAGAATAATAATAAAAAATAAAATTAAATAAATTATTCTTTAAAAAAGAGAAAAGCATAGAAAAATATGTAATGACTTTTCTGACCACACACACATACATATATGTTTATATATATTTTATATGTTAAAAGCATTGAAGATTCATAGAGAATTTTCAGTTATTTAAATAGGGCACGGAAACTCAAGAAACTCAAATATATTTTGTTTAAAGACATGGTTTCACTGTGTCACTACCCTCCTGCCTCAGCAACTGCTCATCTGGGGCCACAGGTGCACACCACCACACCTGGCTCTTGCAGACAGTCTCGTTATATTGCCTAGGCCAACCTTGAGCTCAAGCTCCTCCTGCTGGCTGCTCATCTGGGACCACAGGTGCACACTACCACACCTGGCTCTTGCAGACACAGTCTCGTTATATTGCCGAGGCCAACCTTGAGCTCAAGCTCCTCCTGCTGCAGTCTTCCCCATCAGTGAGGTTACAGGTGCATGTCACTATGTTGCCATTTAGCCTGGCCCAGGAATTGAAGCCTGGCCTCCCATGACGTTCCAGCCTGGGAAGCACAGCATTCCAGCAGCTCATATCACCTTAACTGGGCCCTCTTCCCTAATTCCTCATGTAACAACTCACTGGAGTATTACAAAGTACTTAGTTTGTCACAGCAAGCATATTTCCTTTTGCATTTTAAAAGTTCACTCCCTGACTGGCCACCCCAGTTCAATTAGGCGGGTTGAGGGAGTTCATTAATGGAATAAAACAAAATACTCAACCTGAAGATAAAGATGTCTCTGGTTAGAATGAAAGTATTAAAGTTATTAAAACAGTTAGTTAACCTATTTTTGGAGTTTCCCAGCAAACTGGTAAACACTTGTAAATCAAGATTCAGTAAAGGGTGAGGAATCTGCGACACCTTCTTTCAAAAATGCAAGGTCATTAGTTTTTCATTCTCGCTTTTCTTAAGTTAGTGTTCCTCTCTCTCTTTTTTCCTTTATTTACTTCCCTCATCCTCAGAAAGTTTGCTTTTTGTTGAAAAGACACCTGACTTCCAGTTCATCTGTTAAACCACCAGTCACAGCCCTTTGTCAATTTAAAATGTAGGCGTCTCCACCATTGAACCAGACTCTCACTCTCTTCTCTCCATGGGCCACAAACAAGCAGCAGTGAAGTCCTTTGCACTCACTGGATTTGCAAGCAGCCAGCGGAGGTTTCCACAGGTCATTGTCATGGCACTGGCTCTGGGGACTGCCTTCCAGGGTGTACCCTTCTTCACACTGCAGAGTTACGATAGCTCCATACTGATACATTTTCCCAGGTTCCAGTCCCTTCTGGATTCCATTCATATCCTTTGGGGAGCTACAGTTGACCTCTGAAATTAAAGAAATTTAATTGAAGCAGAGTCATGTTTTGGCCTTTTATCAATAAAGCAGAGACAGTCCTTCCTGCAAAGGTTTATGAAGTTCGTTTCTTTCTCATTAGGCAAAGCGTCACTGAAAGAGAAAAACGATATCCTAGGCATGGTCTTCTAGTGTCAGCCCTCTAGCTCAATAAATTTCTGGTAATTTAAACCGGAGTATTCTCTTTTGCTGCTACAGTTTCTATGCTAACAATGTCAGTCTCTTAGAGAAATGGTGAGGGCCGAATGAGTATTATTAAATATTCTAAAGTACTGTTTTATCTGCTTACTCTCTAATTCTTAATACATGTGCATGCTTTCTCAATTTTTGCTTTCATATTTTCAATGTAGGGGTCAATAGTTTGAGATCATGGGTTTGAATCCTGACTATAGTATTTCCTTACATGTATCTCCTCATGCTACTGGAACTTCATCTATAAAACAAGGATAATAATTGCCCCAACCTCATACGGATTTTATGAAGCTGAAATGAAGATCAAGTGCACCGGTACTCAACAGGTATTAATTTACTATTCATATTTCATATGCATTGTTTATGATAATAAAATGATTTTCTAAAATTATGACAAATATACCTATAATCCTACACCACACAGAAAAAAAATATACTCAAAAAACTCATTGTGCTCTTCATTGGTATTTTGTCAGATGTTCATTGATCATAACTGTAACCACGGTATAAATGCAATCTTAAATTTAGTTGCTTGGTTTGCACAAGCATTTCAACTTTCTATGTAAATGAGTACATTAGTGGTCATGCACCAGGTGAATTACAGCCCAAGCCCTTTTTCTTATTCTGAGATATTTAGATTAATTAATGTAATTATTAATAATGTATTGATTAACGTAATATTAATCCTGTAAGGCATTTAACAATGTATTGATCCCATTAAATGTATTTAATTAATGCATTTCTCTGACTGTATTAAATTAAGACTTTACTAAGTTGATCTATTTGGGTCAAATTTGATTTAAAAATCAGAACAGGGGGCCAGCAGGTGGCATGGTGGTTAAGGGAGCTGGACTCCCACATGGCTGATCACGGTTCAAATCCCGGATCTGGTGGCTTGCTTTCTCACTTTCCCCCTCTCTCTCTCTTACTCTGTCCGTCTCTGGTCAAATTAAAAATAAATAAATAAAATAAAATAAAGTTAAATTAAAACAATTATTTTTAAAAAAAGAAAATAAAAAAAAAGAACAAAAACCAGACCAAGCACCTTTACAATAAGGAGCAGGTTGGCTCCAGGTTCCTTCGTGTGTACACAGAAGGAGTGCGTCTCCCACGAGCAGGTGGCCTTGATCACAGCTGTACAGGACCGACATTCCAGGGGCAAACCGGGCTATATTTCCACCACTATGGTTCCCGTTGGCGATCTTCGATGGAGGCTGACACGCTAGGAAAGCTTAGATACCAAAAAGAGAGCATATTTAATTCAGTACAGAGGAACATACAGCCGACACTATTTCTGGGTGACAGTGACCGACAGGTTGCAGGAAACACAAGTAACACTGGACAGACAACGTGCCAGCATTTCCTACCTATGTGTGATCTGAAGAAAAGTGTCAAAAGTAAGATTATGAGGGGAACAGCAGATGGCATAACAGTTTCATCACTGGACTCCCACGGAGTCGACTGCGGTTCAAGTGCCAGACCCAGCGGCTTAAAACTCACACTGGGTGGGTGTGTACGTGTGCCCAAGATCCCGAGAGGAGAATGGAGAAGGGATTGTGGCATGGTCATCCTCCCTGGGGAATGATTTCTCACTTTCTGTCTCAGTTCTCTCCAGTGAGTGCATGTGCCCTATAGCAAAAATCTTTCTTAAAAAAAAAAAAAAAAGTAGGATAATGAATTATCAATAATTACAGGCCACAATTCTATTTTATTTTAATTTTTAAAGAATTATCTCATTTTAACTATTTATTATTATTATTAGTTTCCATTTGACCAGAGAGAGGCAATGAGAAAAAGAGAGAAAGTGAGAAAAGAAGCCACCAGGACTGGGACTTGAATCATGGTTGGCCATGTAAGAGACGAACTTCTTTAACCACTGAGTCACCTGCCGGTCCCCAGAGGCCACATTTCTAATCTATCAACTAACAGTATTCTTTTCCTTTTGGGTCACACATCCAAATGCCTGTAGGAACCAGGAAGTGAAGCCATCAGATAATAACCAATCAGAGAGCCCCTGTTCTCCTAAAAGTGGCAGCTAAGATCAACTCCTTCCTAGAGCCTTGTAGGGAAGCATGGTGGACCCACATTATTTGTAGGGTCACTATTTATCTTGGGTGGTGAAGATGAGCTTCACTGAAAATAAGACTACAGCTCTGGCAGAAAATTCTGGGGCATCGAATTTGGTTCTCTGGTTACCAATTGGCAGCCTTTGCTATAACAAGTCACTGGTAGAAATAAAGCTGCCAAACAACAAGTAAAACTACAAGAAAGACAGTTTAGCAGGTTTGAAGGCAGCCTCATTTGCCCAAACAACCAGCATTCTTTTTTTTATTTTTTTTGAGAGGTTTTCTCTATAGGGTGCATGAGCTCGCCAGACAGACAGAGAGAGACATAGAGACAGAAAGCGAGAAATCACCCCCCAGGGGGGATGGTCACGCCGCAATCCCTTCTCCTCCATTCTCCTCTCAGGATCTTGGGCACGCACGCACACGTGCCCAGCGTAAGTTTTAAGCCACCAGGCCCGGGACGCGAACCGCAGTCGACTACGTGGGAGTCCAGCGACATAGCCATTACGCTAACTGCTGGTTCCCGAACACCCAGCATTCTCCTACTGGTATTATAGCCCGAAATATCAAATTGTCAGGCGATATTATTGCCCAGCATTTGTCAAAACCAGGTATAGCTATTTTTTAAATTTTACCTCCAAAGATTAATACATTTGGAGACTGTATCAATTTGGAAGTAAACCCCTATCTTTTCATGTCCTATTGGTTAATGCACTGAAAAGAAAAGAAAAGAAAAGAAAAGAAAAGAAAAGAAAAGAAAAGAAAAGAAAAGAAAAGAAAAGAAAAGAAAAGAAAAGAAAAGAAAAGAAAAGAAAAGAAAAGTGTGTGTATGCACACCCCAAATCTTGAGAGGAGAATGGAGAAGGGACTGCAGCACAGACACCAGCCCTCTGTGGGATGATTTCTCATATTCTCGTGTGCTCTCTCTCTCCGTATATCGCTGGAAACAAAGAAAGAGAGAAAGAGAAAGAGAAGAAAGAAAGAAAGAAAGAGAGAAAGAGAAAGAGAAGAAAGAAAGAAAGAAAGAAAGAAAGAAAGAAAGAAAGAAAGAAAGAAAAGAAAAAAGAGGTGAGAAGATAAGAAAAGGCAGATAACCTATAAATCAATGTAACTTCCTTAGATGTTAGATGCCTTTTTTCCCTAGGCAGAATGGCAAGCACCAAGTTCAAAAACTTTTTTACTTATTTTGTCAGCATCCCATATTTTATCCCTTAAAATGTCTTACCCTTTCTGACACACGTTGGTACACCTGGCACCCAGGTGTTATCAGTATGACACCTAATCAAGTGACTGCCATTCATGATGAAGCCGGGATAGCAGTCAACATACACAATGTCGTTGTGGGAATATGCAGGAAGAGTTTCATTGAGCTTGAATCCATGTTTGACTTCAGGGTCAGGGCAGTGAGTGACAGGTGAGGACAGTCGGCATTGTGGGGGAGGACCGCTCCAAGATCCGTGTCCTTCAGAACCATTTATACACCGTAAAATTTTCTCTCCCAGAAGATAGAATCCTTGGTCACATTCGTAAGAGACCTCATTTCCGTATAGAAAGCGTTCTGCCTTCATGCCTGTGTGCCTCCCGTTGTTAATCCCCGGTGGACGCTGACAGTGAATAACTGTTGGAGAGATTTGGGGAATCCTGTTGGGTTGTCAGGAAAGTCACGATGCACTTTTACATAGGAAAATATGTCATGACTTCCCTGACAACCTAATCATCAGCAAGAACAGTCTTCATTCAGGAAAATATACGGATATCTTCCATATAACTAGAAAATTACTTACATTTTGGAACCTGGATATTTTTTAAGTATTATTTTTTATTTTAACATTATTTATTTATTTATTTATTTATTTATTTATTTATTTATTTAGACCAGAGAGGGACAGAGTGAGAGAGAGAGGGAAAGTGAGAAGGCAAGCGGCCAGGTCTGGGACTCAAACAGTGGTGAGTCATGTGGGAGTCCAGCCCCTAACCACCATGCCACCTTCTGGTCCCTGGATTTTGTATTTTAAAAACATCTTTTGGAGGACCAGTACATGGCATAATGATTGCATCATGGGACTCCCACATAGTCAACCACGGTTCAAGTCCTGGACCTGGTGGCTTAAACCTCATGCTGGACACGTGTGTGTGTGTGCCCAAAATCCCAAGAGAAGAATGGAGAAGAAGGGATTGCAGTGTGGCCATCGCACCTGGGGGGTGATTTCTTGCTTTCTATCTTTTGATTTCACTCTGTCTCTCCAGCAAGAGCACATGCTCTATAGCAAAAATAAAATGAAATAAAATTTAAAAAATTCTCTCTCCAAAAAGAAAAATGCCTTTTTAATAAATGTTGTGAATATAAGAGTAATACAGGCTGAAGAGCCTTTATCTGACATTTCAAATTTTGGAAAATCTGCATGCACAAAATGAGATATCTTAGAGATGGGATCCACATTTAAACACAAAATTCATTTCTGTTTTCTACACACCTTGTACTCTGTAGCCTGAAAAAGATTTTATACACTCTTGTAGTATTGACTATGATTCATTACATAAGATCAGGTGTGGAGTTCTCCACTTGTGGAAGCATGTGGGCACTCAAGAAGTTTTGGGTTTTGGAATGTTTTGGACTTTAGATTTTTAGACTAGTAATGCTCTTCCTGTACAGTCATTCAAAAAAAAAAAAAAAAAAAAAAAAAGAAAGAAAGAAAAAAAGAAAGAAAAAAGAAAGAAAGGAAAGGAAATTATTACAAGTATTGTCTGTTGAGGGTATGTTCCCATGACCTAGAAATATGGGCATATCTTTAGCAAAATTAGCAGATTAATGGCAGACAGTTTCGATTTGATCATTTTGTTTCCCAGCGCTAGTGCTGACTAAACATTGAAAGATTTTTCTTATCTTACCCACCCTGAGGGAGAACGCTTAGACTACTGAAATCGTTGCAGGTTAGTTGTTTGGTCGCCTGCCCTGTCTAACTATTGCTGTTGGCTTTTTTTCTTGTAACTTACCTGTACAAAGTGGAATCTTTTGGTACCAAATCCCCTTCTCAGCATCTTGACACTTCTGGTAAGTATATCCAGTCAACCGGTACCTAGAGAGAGACAGATTATGATGTATTTCCTCTTCCCAGTATCATGTCTCTGCCACCTAGCCTCTTTAAACCACATATACAGGGGCACTTCTAAATAAGAATTTTGGCAAAGACTCAAAACACTTGGCCCTCCAAGTAAGAAACGACTGCATATTTAGAGTCCATTCCAGCAAACCTTTTCCATGTCAAGGAAAGACTAAAAAGGCCAAGTTTCAAATCAGTCCACTGGAACCTCACATTTTCTGTGAGTGTGACAATGAGGAACCCCTAGAGACAGCCACTAAGACAAGCAAAGTATTGATGTCACAGGGAGGTGTGGTATTGTCTGTTGAGGATGTTTTGTGGTTTTGTCAAGTGTGTTGAAATATCCATTTTGCAAGACAAATAGTAATGTGATTGAATATATAAAAGAAAGTGAAATGAAAAATAAATGAATTAATAATAAAAAAAGACAAGCTGAGAGTTAATGCACAAAATAAGTGGAGTCTCTTTCTCAGAATGGATCATCTCATACTCACCCATCTTGGCAGGATGTATTCACTACTTTGACAAGTGAGCCATCTTCTTGATGATGACTCTCAGGCTGACATATTTCTGGAGGAGCAAAAATGGGAATTACTTATAGATTCCTCATACCAAAGAGACAGACAACTCTGGAACTGAAAGTACCTTCACACCGTGGGGCAGAAGGACTCCAATTTCCTGAAGGCATACAGTGAATGGATTTGTTTCCCACAAGCAAGTAGCCAGGGTCACAAGTGTAGTCTACGGTCATCCCAGGGACAAAGACGACCCTATTTTCACCCGTATGCCGACCGTGGTGGAGCCCAGAAGGTGGCTGGCAGTCTGAAGAGAAAACTTCCCACATAAATACCAACACAGAGGAACATCTACTCAAGAACATTAAGAACATCATTTCATGACAGACAATCTGAAACTTTGAAGCCAAAGATCACAAAACTCGAATTCATCACTGAAGGTTTTTTACTCCTTTGAAGGAACTAGACCATTTTGAAAATTTTCTCATTATGTACCCTGAATATATCCCAGACCTCTGAAGGCATTTACATGAAGGACACACACAACACACACTGAACACACTCAGTTACAGAATGGAAGAATGGGGAGATAACCTATGCTCCCTCGCCTTTCCTGTCACTCTAGCTTTAGGTAGGAGATAGTAAAGAATAAGTAAATAAATGCCACTCCCCCATCCCACTCCCCCATTTTTTTACCTTTCTCACAAACTGGTTTTTCAGGGTCCCAGGTGTTATTGTCTTTGCAACGAATCTCACTACTTCCTTTCAAAGTAAATCCGTGATAACACTTGAATGTCACACTGTCATTGTAGAAATAAGGGGCTTCCTTGCCAGACAGCTTGAATCCATTTTCAATATTGATGTGTGAGCACTGGACGGCAGGGAGGACGAGATTGCAGAGGGGAGCAGGCCCACTCCATGTGCCTCTCTCTTGATCATTGCTTATACACCGGATGGTGCTCTCCCCAATGAGGCTGAACTCCACTCCTCTCTCTGGCCCAGGGTTACATGTGTATGTGACCGTGGTTCCATACAGAACTTCTTCGGAGGAACTCCCTGTGTGTGTCCCGTTGTAGATAACAGGGGGTGGTGGACAGGTGATTTCTAGAAAGATGAAAAGATACTGTGAAGTTCTTAGTATTAGAGACCAAAGAGCAGAAATGAAGCTGGTTATGAACCTGTTGTTTCCTGAAGATATGAGAGAAGTTTTTCTAATGTGAGTTATATCAAAGCTCATTATGCATATAAAATTCAAATGAAATAGATTTCACAGAAAAGCAAATCTTTATTATAAGTGGACATGCCAATCGATATTATATTAAGAAGCAGTAAGGCACAGCAGTAAATTGCTAATTAAAAAATTATTTTTAAATAACCAATAGGAGAATAAAATGCACAGGGCAAAAGAGTTACGCCGTTTTGAGTACTATCTCTGCACTGGGGTGGAATGCTGGTTTGTATAGCTAACTAAGACTGTTTATTATTGATTGATTTATAGCAGTTTCCTCATCTCAAAAATAGAGATAACACCATTTAATTCTAATCAATTTGAAGTCTGTGCCAACTTTATGGATGGGCAACTAGAGTCACAGAGAGGTTACATAAATTGCACAAGGTCACATTGCTATTACTCAGTAGAAACAGAATCCACTCCACACCAACCCCCTAATCTTTCACTAAAACACAGTGTTCCAAAAATTAAGAATGATGGGGACCAGCAGTTAGCATAATGGCTATGTTGCTGGACTCCCATGTAGTCAACCACGGTTCAAGTCTGGACCTGGTGGCTTAAACTCACACTGGGCCCGGGTGCATGCATGCCCAAGATTCTGAGAAAAGAATGGAGGAGAAGGGATTGCAGTGTGGCCATCCTTCCTGGAGGGTGATTTCTCACTTTTCTGTCTCTCTGTCTCTCTCTGGCTTTCTGGTGAGTGCACATGCCCTATAGCAAAAACCTCTCCAAAAAATAAAAACAATTAAGAATGATGGCTCATGGGTCAGCTGGTGACATGATGGTTAGGGAGACTGGCTCCTACACAGCTGACTGAGCAGCTCGAGGTCTGCACCTAGCAACTTGAAAGACACGCCAGGCCTGTGTGCACATACCCCAGATCCTGAAAGGAAAACAGACGAGAAGGGATTGTGGCATAGCCATGCCCCACGAAGGGTGCTTTCTCACTTTCCTTCTCTCTCTCACTCTCTCTGACAAGTGCATGTACCCTCTAGCACACACACACACAAAGAACGGTGGCTTGTATTTTCAACACTTACATGATTTTTATAATACTAAATCGCAAAAGAGAATTGGTACCTAAGTACTGTTAATTTAACTGAGTGTAGCAGGAAAAGACTACAACAGAAAGACACAGCCAAGCGGTGCAACTCTAACTATTGACAAAATGAACAGGTCAGATCCTAATATGCTGAATTCCCATCAGGTGGCCCACAACAGAAGCTGTCCAGGAGATGTGTAGATCTCACATTATCTCAGCTCCTCTGTCATTTCTGCTTCTCACCTTTACAAAGACGACTCTCCATAAACCAATCACTCTCTCTGACAAGTGCATGTACCCTCTAGCACACACACACACAAAGAACGGTGGCTTGTATTTTCAACACTTACATGATTTTTATAATACTAAATCGCAAAAGAGAATTGGTACCTAAGTACTGTTAATTTAACTGAGTGTAGCAGGAAAAGACTACAACAGAAAGACACAGCCAAGCGGTGCAACTCTAACTATTGACAAAATGAACAGGTCAGATCCTAATATGCTGAATTCCCATCAGGTGGCCCACAACAGAAGCTGTCCAGGAGATGTGTAGATCTCACATTATCTCAGCTCCTCTGTCATTTCTGCTTCTCACCTTTACAAAGACGACTCTCCATAAACCAAGGAACTGGGCCTTGACACTGCTCATAGACACTCTCACTTAACCGGTACCTAGAAACAAAGAGTCATGTCATTTTGCCATCAAGTGACCATGAAGCTAAAAAAGATCTGTTGGGCCCAAAGCAGACACTTCTGGGATAAGAAACAAGAGGAATACAAAATGGAGACAGCATCAGCACCATCTATCCATTGCACAAGCATGGCTACTGTGCGTGGAGAAATAGCGTGATCGACACTTCCATGAACACGCGACAGAAAAGGGCCTTTGAGATACACTCTTGCATAGAGCTTGCAGTGTGCAATGATAAGCCAGACCCGGCTCAGACTGAGATCACCTTCACTCACCCTTCATCACAAGAAGAGGTCATAGCTGGCATAATAAATTGATCCCGCGGTTTGGTAAAGAGTTTGTTTCCTATAGGTTTACACTCTGCCACTAAGAAAAGAGACTAAGATGAGAAATCAGCTCAAGGCAATCTTAAAACAAGCAAAGCATTTACGATGAAGGCCTGGTACCTTTGCACTGGGGGGCAGTAGGTGTCCACACCCCCTCAGAGGTACAACGTATAGATTCTCCTCCCACCAGCACATAGCCAAGGTTACAGGTGTATTTTATGGATGTTCCAGGGTCAAAGCGAACCCCGTGTCCACCTTCATTTTGTCCATTGGGGATTTTAGGAGGGGCCTGACATTCTAAAGGAAAGAGAAAACACAAACTAAAATAAAACTTAAGTATTAATAATCAACAACAGAAATAAACTGAGACAAAGAAATTGACATTAAAGCTAGAACTCTGTTCTGGTGGCAGTTGGATGATACAGACAATACCTCACAGCCCAGCTTAAGGTAATTTTGTAGTGGGATATTCAGTGAGAGAGAGGACACTGAGGCTTTGTTTTTTTAAGAGAGATTTTTGCTATTGGGTACATGTGCTTGCCAGAGAGACAGAAAGATAGAAAGCAAGATCTCACACACATACCCAGGGGGATGGCCATGCCACAGTCCCTTCTCCTCCATTCTTCTCTTGGGATTTTGGGCATGCACACACATGCACACACACCCAGCGTGAATTTTAAGCTGCTGGGTCTGGGACTCTAACTGTCGAGTTATGGGAGTATGTGGAGTATGTGGGAGGCCAATGATGTAACATTATGTTATCTGCTGGTTCCAGGACACTGAGACTTTTCATAGGAAAATAGTGATTTATTCGTACTGGCACTGGCTTAGTAGATTTGCATTTTTTTTAAAGAATGATTTTATTTAGCTTTTTATTTATTTACTTATTTTATTTGACCAGAGAGGGATAGAGTGAGCAAGGAGGGGAGGGGAGAGTGACAAAGCAAGCTACCAGGTCCAGGACTCAAACCGTGGTCAGCTCTGTTGGAGGTCAGCACCTTTCACCATCACACCACCTGCCAGCTCCATAAGTGGATTTGCATTTAAAGGCTGAACCCTGAATTTTTTTTGGGGGGGGGAGGCTTTTTTTTTTTTCCTACTTATTTTCGTTTCTTTGTCTTCCCTATATGGTTATACACACTTTTATACTTTCGATTGGGTGACTTATGTGATAAGGATTATCACATAAGAATTATGCAGGTATGCACTGGGCTACTGGGCTGTTAGACACACAGGCATACATAAAGTTACAGAGCTGCTATAGAAACAGGGTTATAAGGTTACTACAGGTTACACATGTACTTAAATTCTAAGCATGCTCTGTTAATCTTTCTTTGTTTTGGAAGGCCCCCTGGCCACAATTTCAGATCAGCGTTTATCAATCTTTTCTGCACATAAAACTGCTGTCGATTTTATTCAGTTCTCGCTGGATACAATAACTCCTGTCCTCTCTTCCCTTCTTAAGGAATTATCTTGAGTGTTTTTATGGGAGATTCTGATATATCCCTGAGAAAGGGCCTTTTCTGACTTCCCTTTTAAGAAATCGTTATTAAGACAAACATTTTTCTCCCAACTTAGTTTTTTTTTTCCCCCAAGCATATTTCCCCCAAAGTGAAACAACGGCAGAGGGGATGATACTAAGAAAGCCTTTGATAGGGCTGGCTCTGTGGCCTGGTGGTTAAGGCTACTGGATCACATGTGGCCAATTATGCAGTTCAAGTCCTGGCCCTGAAATCTTGAGAAACATGCCAGGTGCATGTGTGTGCACCCTTAAAATCCTGAAAGGAGGGAGAAGTGGAGGAGAAAGGATTGCTTCATAACCATTCTCCATGGAAGGGGGCGCCTTCTCCTCTTCCTCTCTGTTTCTCTCTCTGGCAAGTACGAGAGCCCTCAGGGGGTGGGGGGAACCTTCTATAGAATTGTACTTACTGTACTTAGTATAATCGAGAACAGAAACTGCCTAAAGCCTTGCTTAAGGTCCCATAACCCCTTCCTCTAATTTTCTAAAAAAAATCTAATCAATAACACAGTTTTGAGTAGTAGGTCGCCTACCCTTTTCACAGACTGGTATTGACGGTTCCCATGTGCCTCGGGGATTACATCGGACTTGTCTGCTGCCCTTCAAGGTGAATCCAGCCATGCAAGCAAATACCACTGTTTCATTGTAGGAATATTGATCTTTCTGCACAGATAACAGGTAGCCCCTTAGGATCTGCGGACGTGGACACTGAATCGCAGAGGTAGAAAGCTCGCAGCGTGGCGCAGGACCACTCCATGTCCCTGTGCCCTGACTGTTGATAGTACAATAGATAGTGTCTTCTCCCAGGAGGATGAAGTTCACTCCTGTCTCTGGGCCTGGGTCACAAGTGTAAGTGACTGTGCTTCTATATGGAACATCCGCCGAAGAGCTGCCTGTGTGCCTCCCATTGAGAATATGCGGAGGAGGTGAGCAAAGAATTTCTAGAAAAATCACAGAGAGGCATAACAAGATCACAAGTGTGCAACCAACAAAGAATGGTGTCTCAGCTACCACTGGACACTGTCACTCTCATGTCCTAGGTTCAAGGACTGTGATGTGGGAATCTATAATGAATCAATCAAGGCAGCTGAAGCAATGTAAGTTAGCAGTATGACTGGAAAATTGTACTCCTGATATGTCTACTTTGTGGTAAATAAAATCACTGATTTTACCAAATGTACCATTTCTTTCATGTAGCCTGGTTGTGTACTTAGCAAGTCTATATGACTTTCAGAGAAGAAAAGTCCTAGGAACTCTGTTGCTTGAGAAAGCCAAGAATAAAGAGTAACGGAAGGATGCTTCAGTGAAGACCAAATTCCTAAAAGAGTTCTAGAAATTCTTTGCCCTTTAACGGTCTGTTCTGTAACAGCCAAACCCAAAGCTGTTGGTTCTGAGAATACAGAGTGCTTTCAAATCTTCATTCCTTGCAAACCACAGTTGCCTTACCTACCTTGGCATACTGGCATCTTGGTCCAAACAGCTTGCTGTCCAGCAATTACACATCGACTAGAAGGTTGACCTTGTAATCGATACCTGAAAGCAGAGGCAGTCCTTCAAAACCATCGGACAGTTTGTGCTGAAGAACAACAGCTTCCCTTAAAATCCAAGGCCGGTTCACTTAGTAGGAGTGAACTTCCCCTCTTAGTAGGCTGACCTCTCACAGCCTCCCCCCAGGCTGTCCACAGAGCTTCACAGCGGGGCTGTATGTGGACTTCACAGTTTATACCACACCCATGTAAGCCAAAGAATCACAGCTCATAGACCTCCCTGACACTCACCCTGTGTTACAGGAAATGGTCACAGTTGTGCCAACCCGAAGACTCGCCGGTGCCTCCACCCACCCATTGGGAACTAGTCCTGGAGGTTCACACTGAGCCTCTAATAAAAACAAGTCAAAGACAAGAAACATGAGGCAAATAGCAGAACAGTCCAGATTCTTTCAATGGATTGTAAATTTAAGGTACCTTTACATGTAGGAGTTTCAGCATCCCATTCTCCAGAAGACAAACATTTAATAGTCTTTTGTCCAAGAAGCAAGTAACCAGGGTCGCAGGTGTAAGTCACAGACAATCCCGGGGCAACGTGGTTAATGTCCTCCGCTGTGTGATACCCATTGAGGATCCTGGGAAGTGACGGACACTCCACCGGGAAATCTTTATACACATAGGAGAGAAAAAAGCCATCGGCTGATCCATCCTTCACAACAGAGGTACTAACTTCAGACATAGATCCCGAAGAATGACATTTGATCTACGGTTAATCAGTCATCAGTACCTTTTGATTCAGTCTTTGAAAGATCAAATAGGTTTGGTTTAATTGTATCCATTATAAGCCACAGGTAGTACTTTTTTCCTCTTTAGTTACACTACACAAATTATATTTACCTTGTGAAAAATGTCCATTACCAAAAAATGTCCACATTTGTCCACATTCACCCTATCCTTAAGTCTAATCTCTGCTCCAAAAGTAGCATAATACCCTTTAGAGGGTTATCCTGCCAGACATTAGTAATATAGTTTGTTGGGATCCTATATATAGATATAGATATAGATATAGATATAGATAGATAGATAGATAGATACACACACACACATAAATATAATACATATTATTCCATGCCTTGCTTCCTTTAACACATCTTAGAAAAACATAAAAATAAGTCATGACTTTCCCGATGACCTAATAGATATACTTAAATTTTTTGAAAAGGCTTGTTTTCCATAGCCATTCCATTTTGTGATTCTCTTATGATCTCCCACCTCCCAAACTATCCACTGATAGAGAGATTCACATTTTTAAATAACTTCACAGATTTTCAGCTCTTTAATCCATTTAGAATTTATCAATGTTGTTCTTTCTTAAGAAAAAGAATGCTTAGGGGCCAGCAGGTGGTGTGGAGGTTGAGGTGCTGGATCCCATATGGCTGATTCTGTGGTTAGAGACCCAGACTCAGTGGCTTGAAAATCATGCCAGCACGTGTGCATGCATGCCCCAAATCCTGAGAGGAGACTGGAAGAGAAGGGACTGAGGCATGGTCATCCTCCCCAGGAGGTGATTTCTCCTCATTTTTTCTCTCTGGCAAGTGCACATGGCCCATAGGGAAAAAGGCAAAAGAAAAGAGAAAAATAAATGCCAAATTTTGATGAAATATTTTTTCTTAAATCAAATATAGCCAACTTTTGAAACTGTAGAATTGAAATTCAAGTTTAAATTTCAGCAGCAATATAAACCAAACAAAATGTGAACGAAATGAAGAGTTTACAGTAGGTCCCACTTGATTCAAAACGTGATGGCTCAGGAGATGCCATAAGGAAATAGTGGGTCCCTTCAAACTGTTTACAGAGCACAGGCAACGGGGCTTCTCTTGTGCCAGACTCTATCAACAGCTGCTTACAATTGAGTTTTAAATCCACTGAGTGTATTTCTGTTACCAGAGCCTACATTTCTTTTCAGTTACCCAAATATGAAGTTTAAAACCACCCATTTCCTACAGCCCTAAAAATCTCTGGCCCCCATCTTTGTGAGACTTACTCTACTCAGTGGTTATGTATGCTCAATTACTTTTTCTCTTTATACATCCAATTCTTTTGCTTAGTTGATGTTTTTGGAATGAATAGATATGGTCCTCCATGACCAAGAAAACCCCAAAAAACTATCATTTTCACCTTTTCCTTTGCATTCTCCCATCCACCCCCGTCATTCACATGTTCACACTGTCCTTCCTTCGGAAGGATTCAAAACATGATCTACCCAGAAATGCAAGACCCCATTCTCTCAACGTGGTTTCCTTTTCATACTCACCACTCTCACAGGTCGGTAGTGGTGTTGGCCCCCATGTTCTATTTGCTTGGCACCACACGGTTTTGTTTCCTTTCATGGTGAAGTTGGTTTTACAGATAAATGTCACAGAATCACCATGTCTGTATTGTGTTCTAGATTCTTTACTTTTGTATCCCCCTGGTACCATGGGCTCAGAGCAAGTAGAATATTTATTGTAAAGTTCACATGTTGGAGGAGGTTTATCCCAGACTCCATTCACTTGGTCTTTAGTTAGACAAAAAATAGTTTTTTCTCCGATGAGGCGGAAGGCATTCAAACAAGAGTACCTTATCACAGTACCAACAGGCACAGGATTCTGAGGGGTAACACTCCGGCCATTTTTGATAGGAGGAGGAGGGTCGCAAGTAATCCCTGGAAAGGAGAGAAGAAAGGAAGTTCGCATATGGGATCACGATAATAAAAAGGTTCAACTTTAGATGGGAGATCTAAATATAGAACACATCGCTTTTTCAGAAACACACTTAGAAATCTGTATAAACTATTTCTCACGTATAGTTCCTGCTTATTGCCAAGCTTTTAAGTTCTTACCTTTCTCACAATCTTTGGCAAACAACTCAATTTATGACTATAAGGACCATTTTGATTGAACAATAACAATGAAATGATTTTTCAAATAGTTCTGAGTCTAGTCAATTCTATAAAGAAAAGGCAGATTAAGCAAGAACATAATAGATTAACAGCATGCTTATTACATGTGGAAGGTCATGGGTTAATGAAACTAGGAATGAGTAGAGCTGGTTTCAAATCCCCACGGACATTCAATAGCTGTGTGACTTTAGGCAAGTCTTGCCTTCTCTAAGCCTCCATTTCCTAGTCTACATTAGTATAATTCAAGCCTATTCATAAGGTGCGGTGAGACTCCAGTGTGATAAAAATGTGAGAAAGTACAGTACCTAAAACGTACTAATTATTCAGGGCTTATGATATGTGCAGGTGATAGGATCATATTCAGTCCTGCTGCTACCACAGTGTACTCTCGTGACAGGTCATTTGTCGTGCATTGAGTTAGACCCTGGTATAGAAGCCCAGGAAGTGAACAGAGATTCGAATAATGAACCCATGGTCTATCTACTTATCCTGGTGGGCAAGTAGAATATTAATTGTTCACAGCTACCTTGGTATATACACGTATTTTCCGAGTAAGTCTTCAGAATAAAGGGAAAAATGTCAGTCTCCAGAACTCACAGTTAATTTGATTTTGCTCCAAGAGAAGCTCTTCAGTAGAGAAAGTGGCATAAGAAGACACAGTCGAATGGTTTCTGCTCATCAATGCTATACTAGGTTTCATTAGGGGTAACTTTCAAAAGCCTTTTTCTTTATATGTATAGAAAGTGTAATATAATATTTAGACAACCGAATAAACGTAATGTTTTTTATCTGTATTCTAGAACACCCAGAAGAAAAGTAGCACATATCCATTCAAAGCACATACATAGGTAAGATGTGATCATTGATAAATGCATGGGATCACACTAAAAACCAAGAGGTAGAAGATCCGTACTTGATTATTTTTGTTTTCTACTCACGTTCACAGACAGGAAACTTATTATTCCAGAGTACTGTCATTCCTTCTAGGACACACTGACTAGAAGATTTGCCATTTAACCGGAACCTTGAACAATAAGGGGTAATAAATCATCACCAGATCAAGCCAATTGTCAATTGCATGGAATTAATCACTTCTCTCAAGTATGTGGTATTAATGGGATCTACATTTTTACAGGGTCCAATCTTAAGGGAGAAGTCCAAGGTTATTTGTGACTCAGCTCAGCTATATAATGACTTCAGATCAGAGAAAAAAATCCTAACAATGTATTCTCTTTTTAAATTCATCTTTTCCTCTTTGTTATCCACATGACAATATTCTCTTGATTATCTCTTAGAAGGAAAACCTCTCTTCCTAGTGAAGAAAACATCAAAGGCCTTGCTCCCTAAATTCACACCAAGGAAGCCCTTTACCGAAATGCCAAATCATCTATTAATTCTCCATAATAGGAGCTTTAGCTTTGAAACCGACACTTTGCTTTTTTCTGACAAAAGAAAAATTCCCAGCTTTGACCGGCCACGTACAATGCATATACTTGGGAAGATCGCGAGGATGATCAATGACAAGGTGCTCAGTCACAAATGATAAAGAAAAGAAAGAAAAAGACTCAAAGAGAGAAGAAGTTGCCTATCTTTAGAGATTAAGCTTTGCAAGACTTATTTATGAGTCCTACGTCTCCATCACTTCACTCACCCCTTATCACAAACAAAGGAAACCTCTGCCCCAAGCTGGAGATTGGGAGGAGGAACCACACGGCCATTGAGAAGTTGGTTTGGAATGGCATTGCATGATTTCACTAGGAAAGAAGAAACAAGGCTGGCACATGAAGAGTCAGGAAACAGTTGAGTTTCCTTTAGATGGAGGAGAGCTTTAGGCACCTTCACATTTGGGGGCGGCATGATTCCAAGTTCCCGAGGATGTACACTGGACAGGGTTAGTTCCAATGAGTGTATAGCCAAGCTCGCAGCTGTAGGTCACTTCCTGTCCAACTGGAAAGAATTCCTTATCCCTTTTGTTATAATTACCATGGTGGATAGGTGGAGGCGGTAGACACCCTAAGAAAAGAATAGGACCATGTATCTGTAATAAGAACTTTCTTCTCTGCAACTTACAGCCAGCATGGGGTTGACTGGGTAGAGGAGGTGGGAGTGAAGGTGGTGTTGTTAACTCTATTCAGTATAAAGCAGAGACTCCTTTAGGTGAGATGGACTGGAATTAGCATGTATTGCTTTTTTCAGACCAGGTGACCATGCAACTGTTTTCCCTGTCTCGATCTGTTCCAGATCACACCTCATTTCCCTTTCATTCAACGAAAAGTTCTGAGAGATCCTCTCACTATCTTCCTCCTACTTTTCCCATGTGTCTATTCAAAAAAAAAAAAAAAAACCCTCATTTTATTTCTAGATCCCCAGATGTTAGCCCAACTCACCCTCGAAGCACCTTGGCAGTGGAGGATTCCATTTGCCGTCTGAATGGCACTGTACTACATTGCTGCCTTTCATGGTAAAACCAGGCTGACACTTAAACATCACTGTATCGTTTAAGGAAAAGGAATATCTAAATCCAGATTCCATAATTCCATGTGCAACCTCTGGAACTGGGCATTTGACTGGAGTAATACATTGAGGGGGCGGACTGCTCCAGACACCAACTTGATCGTCTTTGCTGGTACAATATATTGACTTTTCACCCACAAGATCAAACAGCTTTTCCCCATGCTGTCCAACAGTGCACTGATAAGTCACCACCATTCCATAGTGAAAGTTCTCTTCATTGCTGCTGTAAAACTCCCCATTGAGTATGGGTGGGGGTGATTCACAAAGAATAGCTTTTGGCAAGGGGTAGGTGGAAAAAGAGAGAAGACAATTAAATGTTATACTTTCTAAAAATGTTATCTTCATTCTCATAAATAAATTGTACCCAGCCCAAGATTCATCTATATTGTTGAAATTCTATATCCTATATTCTGAATCCTTAAAGATGACTCTAAGTAGGAGGTAGCAAAGTAGCCAGATACATGAAACTGGCTGATTAAAATTCAAAAAGCTATGAGCAGGTCACTAGTCCTCACCTTGGAGAACATACAAAATTTTAGGAAAGGCACCTAGGCTGGCCTACTTCTTGCAGAAAATAAAGTTGGCAGTGCATAATCTCACGATATATTTTAAATTTAAGCATTTCTTCAGTGTGAAATAACTTATGATCAAAAGACAGGAAAGTATGGTGAAATCAGAGGACACAGAGAAAATGAACAAGCCACAATTCTGTGCCCCCAAACTACCCAAGCTATGTATAACCTTCCTAGTTACTCCTTTTGAGGTGCAGATGCCACATTTCCCTCTGGAAGAGGACACAGGAATTAAATAAGGCACAAAGGAGAGATTGTTCTACTCACATTCACAAACAGGCATGTCCTTATCCCAGGTTACAGTATTGTCTGAGATAACACATGTAATAGATGAGTCCCCAATGAGTCGATATCTAAAGATAAAGAGATGAGTGATCACCTCCCAGCCTAAGTTGCATTTGTAGAATAGCCTTGTACTTTCCACAGAAAGAATGGTGGAGAATAGAATGTCATGGATGATAAGTAGTGGCAATAGATTAGGGACTTATGCAAAAGTTTCACCAATGTAAAGCCCAATAATACTTGTCTCTTAGTCAGTAACACTGGAGACTTAAAATTAGAAGACAGCCCAAACTTCTTCCCCTCCTAGGGATTATGTCCAATGAGTAAACCTGAAGAATCATCTATGGAGCAAATCAGGTAGATGATTTCTTTTTTTTCTTATCTGTTATAAAGAGTTAACAATTACTAAGGTCTCTTTTGGAAGACTGATTGTTTCCAGCTGGAACTACTGTTCTAGTATCCATGCACCCTGAAGATGTTGCCTGTCAACTCACCCTTTATTACAAGAATAAGTAATTGTTGACCCAAACTCGATACCCTTGGGTATAAACACAGAGCCATGGAGGAGTTCTCTAGGACTCATACATGATTTACCTATAAGGGAAAATAAAACAGATTTGGGGCTGGGATTTGGAAGATATTTTTATTTTATATTAAATCCCATCCTGACTGGACTTGCTGATGAATCTACTTAAGTACACTTAAAAAAAAATTTTGACATTGACAAAACATGTACCTTCCAAAAAGCCAGTCAACTCCAGATACTATTTGTTTAAAGAATACAGTCTATATTTCTGTGTATAGATGCAAATTTTAGTTGAGGTCAATGATAACTATATCTCTAATTTTTCTTTTTATATTCTCTCGGTTGATGGCATCATCCACCAACTCCTGCCTTAAACTTCATCACCATCATTACTTTTCTGTAACTCATCTTCTATCTTCTGCCCCCCCCCATTCGATTAGTCACCAAATTTTAGTAACTAGACTCCAAATATCTTTCTTCAAAACAACCATTTGCCTCTGCTGTAATTTCCCATCAGATTACTGAGTGGCATAATTTACCATTCTAGGTATGGTTTCCCTTAGATATTTTCTACATTGCTGTATATATTATATTTTTTCATGATAGAATGCATGTCCACACAAGTATATGCATCGAGAGAGAGAGAGAGAGAGAGAGAGATGCACCCTCCATAGGTTGTGATCCCCTTCCTCCAGTCCTCCAGTCCATCTGATCTTGGCCATTTGTACAGATGCCTGGAAATGTTCTAGGCTGACCCTGCTGGTGATTTGAACCATGGTCACTATGTGGGATCTAGCTGCTCTTCAGCAGCACATTACTGGTGAACCAAGGAACCAGCTCCTATATGTGTTACATTTCTAAAGCATAAA